CCGGGGCGCGGGGCCACTTAGTCCCCCCCCCCCCCCCCCAGCTGCTCTGGTCCTGATTCAGCCGCTGCTGGTCAGTTTCAGCAGCAGCAGAATCAGGACGCCTGGGGCAGAGCAGCTGGGGTGCCGCCGGGTTGCTCCAGTAGAGCCAAGGAGCCAAGACAGGCTGACTACAGGAAGCCCGAGGCAGAGTTGCTCTGCCCCAGGCTTCCTGGAATCAGCCGCTGATCAGTTTCAGCAGCAGCTGACTTGGGGACGCCTGGGTTTCTTAAGTTGAATCTGTATGTAAGTCAGAACTGGCGTCCAGATTCAGCTGCAGTTGAAACTAATCAGTTTCAGCAGCGGCTGACGCCAGTTCCGACTTACATACAGATTCAACATAAGAACAAACCTACAGTCCCTATCTTGTACGTAACCCGGGGACTGCCTGTATATGCAAAGTTTACAGTCCTTTTACCAGTCATACTACTCTAGATCACAAAACAAAATAGGCATCTTTAATCATAATGAAAACCTGTTGACTGTGTGTCAAAATTCCAATACCTTTTGGTAACTTAGGGATATAAGAGTGTAGCTGTAAGCATGAGCTTATTGGTTACCCAAATGGTTACATGCAGCTCCCAGTACAACTCCCAAAGCACGGGGCAGCAGCCAGCTCCTGGGAAATGGGTGATCGGCAGGAGCCAGTATTCACCAGGAGCAGGCTTAAAAGACAGCTCCTGGTGCACACCAGCTCCTGGGGAGATGACTGCTGCCCTGCACTACAAGTGTGTGTAAGTGCTGAATTTTTTCAGCAGTTACACGTTTAGCCAATTACCCATGTTTTAACATCCCTATTGGTAACTTAAATTTGTATGCAGAAGTGTAGTCTGCATCAGGTCTCTACCACGGCTAGCTTATTGTATTGGTATGCTGTAGCAAGAGATGCATCTGCACCGGCCAACAGCAAATTTAATAATAGATGCTTTTTTCTAGACTTTATCAAGCAACTTATTATCAGAATTCACTTTGCACAGTGGTATGATTGGACTAGTATTACTTGTCTGCAAATACAGTTGAATACTGCAATACACTCATGAGGGCAGCCTTGCAAATTACTAAACAATTCAATAACTAATCTGTAACATTGCTTGCTGATTGCTTAGTAGCATGTTGGCAATATTCTGTGCTCAAAAACTTGAACTAAGTATTGGCTACCTATATGCTTCCTGGTTAAAATCAGATTTTGGACCATAAAACCCTACCTAATTTGGAATATTCTTTCTCTAAACACAATTTAAGCCCACACCCAAGAAATATTTACCTAAGATATATCTTTGCAAAGTCATGGAATACAGGAGAGATTCCAGAAGATTGGAAAATGGCAAGTATAGATCCAAGCTATAAAAAGAGAAATAAGGACAACCCAGGGAATTACAGACTAGTCAGCTTAACTTCTGTACCTGGACAGATAATCAAGCAAATAATTAAGGAATCAGTTTGTAAAATCTAGAAGATCATAAAGTGTTAAGTAACATTAAGCATAGATTTGTCAAGAATAAAATGTCAAACCACCCTGTTAGATTTCTTTGACAGAATAACAAGCCTTGTGTATAAGGATGGAGCAGTAGACGTAGTGCATCTTGATGTGGTATATCCTGGCAGCTGCAATGAGTTCCCTATGGCTCCAGGAAGCAGCAGGGAAATCACCACAACTCCCAGCAGCCATGGAGGGAGCTCACTGCAGCTGCCAGGAGCTGTGGGGAACACTGTGGCTCCTGGCAGCTGCAGTGAGTTCCTCATGGCTCCCGCCTCCTCCTGCCCTCCCCTTCCCCGAGGCCAAGACAGGAAACCTGCTAATATGCAGAACCACAAATACTAATTCTGTGAACTGGGAGGGTCTCCTGCATCATACCATACATCTGCAATGACTGTGTGATGTGATTGTGAAAGACACTGATAGGGTGGAGTAGTTCTCATAGACTTTAACATCAGAAGGGACCATTATGATCATAGAACTGGAAAGAACCTTGAGAGGACATCAACTACACTCATGGCTGGACCAAGAACCATCTAGACCTTCCCTGACAGATGTTTGTCTAACCTATTCTTAAAAATCTCCAATGATTGAGATTCCATAACCTCCCTAGGCAATTCATTCCAGTGTTTAACCACCTGAAAATTAGGAAGTTTTTCCTAATGTCCAACCTAAGCCTCCCTTCCTAAATTAAATTAATGGAGATTGCCTATCTCTTAGAACTGGAAGGGACCTTGAAAGGTCATTGAGTCCAGTCCCCTGCCTTCACAGCAGGACCAAGTACCATCCCGGACAAATTTTTGCCCCCAAATCTCTAAATGGCCTTTGCAAGGATTAAACTCACAACCCTGGGTTTAGCAGGCCAGTGCTCAAACCACTGAGCTATCCCTCCCCCCAATTCAATTCCTACAATTGCCTGTTGCTTCTTGTCCTATCATCAGAGTTGAAGGAGAAGAATTTTTCTCCCTGTTCCTTGTAACAACCTTTTAGGAACTTGAAAGCTATGATGTCCTATTTTAGTGTTCCCTTTTTCAAACTAAAACCCTATTCTTTCGATCTTCCCTCATAGGTCATATTTTATAAACCTTTAATAATTTTTGTTGTTCTTCTCTGGACCTTCTTCAGTTTGTCTTACCTGATATGTGGTACCCAGAATTGGACCGAATACTCCAGTTGCAGTCTAAACAGCACAGAGTAGAGTAGAAGAATTACTTCTTGTGTCCTGCTTACAACACTATTGCTAATACATCCAAAGATGAGATGTGCTTTTTTTGCAACAGTGTTCTACTGCAGACTCATATTCAGGTTGTGGTCCTCTATGATACCCTAGATCCTTTTACACATTACTTCTTCCTACCCCGGGGTGGGCAATAAAGTTTTAAAAAGGGACCACTTCATATTTCTGAAGTGGCCCTGAGCTGCCCCAGAAGGGCAGGGCTTTGGGAGGAAAGGGTGGGATCAGGAGACTTCTCGTGCTTCCCCTCACTGACCCTGCTTGGCTTGGAGGTGGGGGAATGCGTGAAGTCTTCCCCCTCTTAAAGAGGATCACCAACTGTTTTATAACAGCTGGTGGTTCCCTCTAGGTGCCACAGCGGGAGGAGATCTCGCGCGCTCCCCCCATTCCCAGGCCAATCAGGGCCTGGTATTGGGGGGGAGCATGTGAAGTCTCTTGTCCCTGCCCTGCCAGGGACACACGGTGGCTAGAGACAAACAGCTGACAGTTCCCTCTGATGCTGCAAGCCCCTGGCAAAGGGATGAGACTTTGCACATGTTCCCATCCCCAGGTCTCAACTGGGGTGGGGGAGGGGCAGGACAACCACAGGCAGGATCCACCAGCTTGGCAGGCAACATCTCACCTGCAGAGGCCCCTTTTCCCTTTCTTAGACAATAATTTCTCATTTTGTATGTGTGTGACTGATTGGTCTTTCCTAAGTGGAGTATTTTGCTTCTGTCCTTATTGAATTTCATCCTGTTTACCTCACACCATTTATCCAGCAACTTCAGGGGGTAGCCGAGTTAGTCTGTTACAGAAAAAAAAAACAAATGGTCTGGTAACACTTTATAGACTAACAAAACGTGTAGATGGTGGTATGAGCATTTGTGGGTACAGACAGGTCATCTGAAGAAGTGGGCTGTGCCCACAAATGCTCATGATACCATCTACATGTTTTGTTAGTCTATAAAGTGCTACCAGACCATTTGTTGGTTTTACCATTTATCCACATCACTTTGAATTTTCATTCTGTTTCCCAAAGCTTTTGCAATCCCTCCTGACTTGGTATCTTCCGTAAAATGTATAAGTGTACGCTCTATGCCATTATCTAAATCGCTGATGAAGATATTCAACAGAACTGAATCCAGAACATATCCCTGTGGAACCATGACTCATTACTTCCCTTCAAGCATGAATGTGAATCATAACTATTCCCTTAAAATGGGTTATCCAATCAATTTTGCACCCACCTTGCAGTACCTCCCTCGAGGCTGTATTTCACTAGTTTGTTAATAAGGTCATATGAGACTATATCAAATGCCTTACTAAAAATCTAGATATACCACATCTGCTACTTTCTCCTTAAACACAAGGCTTGTTATCCTGCCAAAGAAAGCTAGCAGCTTGGTTTGACACAATTTGCTCTTAATAAATGCATGCTGAATGTTACTTATCACCTTATCTTCTAGATGTTTGCAAACTTATTCCTTAATTATTTGCTCCATTATCTTTCCTGGTATAGAAGTAAAGCTGACTGGTAGTTTCTTGGGTCATCTAGTCTGATCATCTAGTTTTACCTGCTACACATCGCAGGCCATAG